TTTTTTCTTCTTCATCGTTTCTGTATTCAGGGTTTTTTTTTTTTTTTGGTTTGGTTTGGTTTTTTTTTTTTTTAATTCTTTCATAACCCTGTTGGGTGTTTTTTTTAAACCAAATTAACATGGCTCGAATGAACCGCCCTGCTCCTGTGGAAGTCACATACAAGAACATGAGATTTCTTATTACACACAATCCAACCAATGCGACCTTAAACAAATTTATAGAGGTAAGATGTGCTTTTTTATGTCCTAACTGGTTGCAGTTTAGTAGTGGGGCTGCTTGAAATGTAACTACAGTTCTCAGTACCCATAGAGGAAGGGTCTTTATTGCTAGAATTGCTAGAGATATTTTAAACTTTGAGAGCTGCGTGCCTTTATTTTGCTTACTTGTATTTACAAGGCAGAGGCTGCCACTTAGATTTTTTTTTTTTGATGTATCGTCTTAGCTTAGTATAATAAGCTAAAATTAGTTAATGTCTCTGTGCTGCTAATTCTGTTTTCTGATGACAGATACATAGCCTTCCAACCTGCTTAATACTAGGAATTGGAAGGAATATAATGCCGAGTAACTTATGTATCTGGGCACATAATGTATTTTTTTTTTTCAAATTTCAGATTATTTTTTTAATGTCAGCAGAGTTGAATTGTAATTACTTAATGTTCCTCAAGCCTATTCTATTTTTTTTATAGTGAGTAGCTTCTAAAAATTGAAGTCTGTATTTGAGCCTTTGAAATTATTTCTAAGACTTAGGTCTGAGGAGTTGGTTCATTCAGTAAAGTACTTAAGTTTAAGCTCCTGGATGCAAACCTAAGTTTCTTCCTTAGAATCAACATATCAAAAGCCTTGAGCACTTTCAGCTCACTGGCTGGCCAGCCTAGCCTATTCTGGCAAGTTTCAGGACAGAGAGAGGTTGTGTCTCAGAAATGAGGTCAATAGAACCTGGAGTTACCTCTGACCTCCGACCTCCACATGTACCCAAGCACTCACAGAAACTATTTTTAACAGGTTTTCCCCCAACTTATAGTCAGCCAGCCTATTCACACTTATACTATACTATTTACAACCAGATTTGCCTGTGTTAAACATATGTAACAGATTTTACCATTCTTTGTTGCCAGCATAATCAAAAATGGTGAAGATGGCACATAACACAACAGTGATATGGTTCTAAAGACCTCATTGGTTTTTGTGTTTTTTGTTTTTTTTTTTTTTTTTAAATATATGTATTTTTCCCAGGAACTTAAGAAGTATGGAGTCACCACAATCGTACGAGTATGTGAAGCAACTTACGACACTACTCTTGTGGAGAAAGAAGGCATTCATGTTCTTGTGAGTACTTGAGCCTTAGTTGTATTTTTGTTATGCTGCAGAAGTTTATTCAAATAAATCCAACCTAAGTTCAAATTTTTTAAATGAAGGCAAAATTTTACAGTACTAATATGTGATTAAACATTTTGTCTGCTCTTTGGGTTAGAGTCCTGCTGTATAGCCCAGTTGGCCACCTGCCTCTCCTATATTTTGGGAATCCAGGGATGCACCAGTGGACCTAGCTAATTTAAAGGTCTGAACTATTTCTTGTTTTGGTTTAGGACTGGCCCTTTGATGATGGTGCACCACCATCCAACCAGATTGTTGATGATTGGCTAAGTCTTGTGAAGATTAAGTTTCGTGAAGAACCTGGTTGCTGTATAGCTGTGCATTGTGTTGCAGGCCTTGGCAGGTAAGAAAATCACATTTCTTTCTGGACCCCACAGGTTGAAAACTGCTGTTCTAGATAAAGGTCTAAGTTGAAAAGTGCTAATATTTCCCAAGATTTGAACCTGGGACCTCCTGCATGTGAGACAAGTACTCTAACGCTACCACTATATTGATAGCTTCCCAGTCTTATTTTAGCCATCCGCACTTGGGTTGCCCAGCTGGTCTTGAACTCCCTCCCAGACAGGCTTTGCAGTTGTGATCTTTATGCCTCGGCTTTCCAGGTAGCTGAGATTCTAAGCCTGTAACATAAAATCAACCCAAAGATTTTTAATATTAGATTAACATTGAAATGTTAAAATGTATTGCAGGATGATTGATAATTATATCTTTGGATATGGGAGTATATGAACAATTAATCTGATTACATGATTTAATTTTGAAAAATAGTGATCAAAAATTTTACCTTATCAGGGCTCCAGTGCTTGTTGCCCTAGCATTAATTGAAGGTGGAATGAAATATGAAGATGCAGTACAATTCATAAGACAGTAAGTAATGATCTGTCTTCTTTCATGCTTGCTTGCATTTTCTTACTAAATATCCATTAAGTAAAATCCAAATCATGTATCAGTTAACTTTGTGTGTGTGTGTGTGTTGTCGTCTGCATGTGTGTTGTGTTTCTGGGGGCACTGAACCCATGGAACTGACGTTACTGGTGGTTGTGCGCCACTAAACCCAAACACTTTTAACTTACACCTCCCCCCCCCCCCATTGTTATGTTTAAGATAACTATACTAAAGCCAGGAGAAAAAAAACCTCATCCAGCCTTTTTGTATTCATGGATGTAATTGCATGATTGATTTTTTTTTTTTTTTTTCCTGCTTTATTGACTCAATGTGTTTGTTGATGTACACTTTGTTGAGGTATAGATAACTAGTGGATTTGGTTTGGTGGGGGTTTTTTGTTTGTTTTTTACTACTTTCAAAATCATTTATAGAATAAAAGTCACCTAATCAAACAACATATCCTGGTGTATTATTTAAAAACCTCACTACTCTAGATAGGTCCTTTGGTATTTGTAGTCATCTTGCTTAACACTAGAAATGACATCCTTCTAACATCTATCATGAACAGTTACCTCTGTCTTTTCCTTCTTCCAGAAAGCGGCGTGGAGCTTTTAACAGCAAGCAACTTTTGTATCTGGAGAAGTACCGTCCTAAAATGCGGCTGCGCTTCAAGGATTCCAATGGTCATAGAAACAACTGTTGTATTCAATAAAACTGGGGTGCCTGATGCCATTGCCTTGGAAGTGGAACTTCAAATGGAACCTAATTTTTCTGTCACACATAATTAGCCAATGTGTCAACTTATGGAATAAGTGAACTGAAGCTTCCACAGGAAAACCAGTTTTACCAGGCCACAGCTTGACAGAATTGCAACCTCTGTATTTGGGTTATGATCAACCTTTTTGGACACTTGGCAAAAGATTTTTTGCTGGTCAGCATTTAAAATGTGCTTATTATTTGTACCAGTTGACTTTTCCTAAAAAGGTATTGAGTTGTCATTAAATGTACTCCTGTGCCAGAACATAATTAGTATATAGGGAGTTTTAGAAAGATTAGGTGCCAAAATACCCAGCACAATACTTGTATATTTTTAGCGTCATACAGAACCAAAATTCCAGGAACTAAGAACACTCTAGACCTTCCATGGTTTATTCCTTCCGTCATTTCAAACACTGCAGGGCTTCTCTTGTTGTCTGCCTGCTCACGCTATGTTTACATCTCCCACACTGACACCAGTATAGTCAGGTTTGCCTAGCCATTTTTTTTTTTTTTTTAAACCAAGTCTTGTGCTGATTATTTAATGTCTTTCTATGTCTTTTGTGCTGTTTTGGAAAACCTCCATTTGAAAATCAACTTTGTTACAGAAGCACATCTTCAATAATGTCTCCAGACAAAAAGCCTTATAGTTAATTTAATTTTGCACTCAGAGGTGCAACTTAACAGGGAGGGCCTGCAAACAGAATGAGAGGAGGCTATTCAATATTTTTAGTAATATGTTGCCTTTGTCTTGTGCAGAACATGTAGAATATGCTCTTTAATTTAGTAAATATTTTAAGAGGTAGAGATACATTGTTGTAGCTAACCAATTCTTAATCAAAATTTCTGAAATTCTTGTTTTTTTTCATACCTATCAGAAGTTTTCCAACTTGTTTGAATTATGGTTTTCTCCTTCTCTCCCCAACTTCTCTTGCAAAAAAAGAAAACGTGGGATCTGCTAATGAACTTGAGCAGACATTTTATATGCCTTTTGAGCTATGTAACTTAATAATTGGATACTTGATCATTTGTTTTATTATGTAATCGATAAATGGTGATGTGTATTAATGTTAGTTCATCCATATATTTATACTGTCTGGGAATGTGTGGTTATAGTTCTGTGGGAGAAATAATTTGTCAGTGTTCACCAGCTTGTAAAAACTTAGTGCGAGAGCTTCAACATCTAAATAAATGATGAAATGCATTTGTCACTGAGGTCATTTTGCTTAAAATTAACTTATTTTGTAGAAAACAGTGGATTCAGTTGCTATCATTTCATTTTCTGGACAAATTTGTTAGGGTTATGAGCACACTTGAATACCAAGTGCTTTTTAATTCAGTTCCATCAGTTTTCTGTCGTTTCCAACCCTGCTTTCTCGTTTTTAAGTTCATTACATGCCTGTGTATATTCTGAAATTAGTTTGAACCTGAGTATTTGGCACATGGTGGCTTAATAAATTTTAACTTTCATTAATCTGAAATGTTTCATTTCCCTAGTTAATGTTCAAGTTAAATAAACAGGATTTGTTTTTTTTTTAATTATAAATTGAAATTTTGATCGCAAAAAACAATATTCCATCTTATGCTTTAAAAATGTACTTGTTCATGCCAGTCTAGCACTTAGAAAGTACTGGTCTGGAGGTCCTTAGTTCTCACTAAATGATACACTATTACCACACAGCCCCTAAGTAGGCATTCATGCTTACTGGGAGAAGGAAGGTGCTGTCACGGTTACTGAAAATATTGAGATTGTATATACGGTGCTAAAAGTCGCTTTGCTTTATAAACTTAACTGTACGTTATAAACAGATTTGCTTTATGTTTTGTATCTGTAAATACAGCAATACCTGTGATAACATCAAAAAAAAAATGCCATGGGTCTGATAAGAATTTAAAGACTCACAAGCTGAATTCTCCAGCGCAGGTTGGCAGATGTAAAATTTACTTAGTAGGGCCCTGGGATTATAGCTCAGTAGATTGCTTGCCTAGCATGCAGGAAACCTGAGTGTAATAGCCAGGAGAGGGATCCAAGGTCATCCTCGGCTACATAACTTTTACCCAGTCTGGCTGTCTAAATATGTATGCTTGCTTGAGCTTGGGTACTTCCAATAGATAATAGTGACTGCTTTCTCTGGCCTCTTTATTGGTATCAGACGTTGCTGATGCAAGTAATGTGATTACTGAATCAAAACCCTGTCTCCTTTTAGAGGAATAACCCTAAAAGTAGGTGTCACCAGTCATTTTGCAGTCGCCTGCAGTCTTCATAGGTCATTTCCCTTGGTGACCCCTGAAGGCAGCAGCGCTTGCCGACACACTTACCATCCCTCCAAGGCATGTGATCAAGCCCGGGTATGTCATAAATGATAGCTGTGGTCCCATAGCCTAGCTGTCATCTTAGTCTTGGGGTCTGTGTTACAGCCATCAGGCAAGTAGCCACATTTACTAGTACTGGAAAGGATAGAAGTTGGTGTTGCCAGGCCTATCCAATAATTATCCCACCCTTACCTATAACAATTTCTTCGTATTGGAGTTTCAGGAAATGTTATTTCTTGAGAATGTTTCAAATGGAAGTGACTGATTTTTTTTTTTAATTTGTAAACCGGAAGGTTAATATACACAAAATAGCATCTGCTGTACACATTATGCTCTACGTTCTCGATTCCTTGAATTGTTTGTGTGAGTGTGTGTGTGTCTTGTCTTCATCTCCTTAAACTCTGAATTGAAAATTAAAGACTGCTTTAAAAGTGTCTGACTGTTTCTGCATTACCTTTTGAATAACCACACCAAACAATAGTGAAAGTAGAATGTGTTCGTTTCCAGTGGGTTGAGCCATTTTATCCTTTGTGAATAGAGCTGACAGTGATATGCATTAATATGGCAACATGTGTCTAATTATATCACTGTCAGCTCTATTAACACCAGATACTGCATATAGCTGTTGATAGCTGCCACTTACTATTTTACAGTCCAGTGTTTTTCACACTGCAATTTTAAGTGGTTTGGTGCAACTTCATACATACAGGATGTGAACCTCCAGTTAGGTAACTAATAGGCTGTAGAAGTCGGGAATTCAAGCCTGTATTTGAAGCTGAGCATAGTGGTGTACCTCTTGAACCGGTGGCAGGCAGATCTCTGAATTGCAGGCCAGTGAGGTCGTGCAGGAAAAAAATGCTGTATTTGAGCCTTAAATATACCAAGCCATGCAGTTTATGTGAATATATATGTGTGTGTGTGTGTGTGTGTGTAATATGCCAGAGTGGCAGCCTGTACTACATGAACTCCTTAAAAAATAATAAAGGGAGGGAGGGAATCAGGAAAGGAAGACCAGGAATCCAGCTTGAAGGAAATAATTACTCCTCTGCACTTCTGACTGAGCATGAGGATCAAATCTGTACTGATAACCTGTAGCCTGACTTGCTAGTAATCTGAACACTCTTCATCTTTTATTCTTTGGGGTTTTGGTTTTTTTGAGACAGGGTTTTTCTGTGTAACCTTGACTATCCTGGACTCATTTTTTAGAGTAAAAATTCTATTTCAGTTCCTGTCTCTAGGGTCCTGGGTTGTGCTACTGTACTGGCCCTCTGTGTGATAACTATAGGCAATAAGCTGAAATAAGCCCTGTCTTCTCTCAAGTTGCTTTTTTGATCATTTATCACAGCAACAGAAAGCAAACTCGGACAAACACACATCCTGGGAGAAGCATTCTTTTTTTTTTTTTTCGTTTTTAATGTTCTTTCTTTCTTTCTCTTTCTTTCTTTCTTTCTTTCTCTTTTCCAATGTTGTTTTGAGACAGGCTCTAGGCCTGGCAGACCTCAAACTCCCTAATGTTACTGAAGATGACTTTGAACTTGTGATTCTCCTGCCTCCACTCCCATGTTCTGGAATTGCAGGCTTGTGGAGCTGGAGATGGAACCAGGGCTTTATGCATCTAGATAAGCACTCCACGCAGTAAGCTACATCTCCAGCCCAGAGGAATCACTTTTCTTCAGAAAGTGGAGTCTGGATCTTTGGTAGAGCTAGGGTCAAAAAGTGAGACCTGGTTCCAGCTGGAGAGAATTTGTTTTTCACTTGATTGGAACCTGAAATCCATGATTAATCAATAGACCTCACTGATGAACAACCTCATTGCTTAAGCGATTACAACCCAGATGTTGGGCAGTAATGACAAAGTGATGAGATTACTTTTTTTTTCTCCAAGTCATCGCTTCTATTTTTTTAAGGTGATAGATTTTATGTTCTGTGTATTTACTAAAATAAAAAAATTATAAAGGAATTTTAATTCAGAACGTGGCTGCTTTGGCAAGAGATCACATCCAAACACCTTCCAGGTCTGTGTGATCTAGCTGGAATACCTTTAATCTAGTAGACAGAGGCAAGCAGATCTGAGTTCAAGGCCAACCTGGTATAGAACTAGTTTCAGGTAAAGAAAACCTTAGGGCCAGGCATGGTGGTACATGCCTTTAATCCCAAACAATGAAGGTAAAGATAGTTTGTAGCACCCATGTTTGAAAGTGATTTCTAATTTAGTGGCAGAAAAAGTGACAAATCAGAGAAGATTTGACAATAGGATATGCCCAACTCTCAGGAGAACAGAGGAAAGGGAAGCTAAAGCAACACAGAGAATAAGAGATGAGGCAGTCTTATTGGAGGAGTAATAAAGAGATGGGTTGCAGAGAGAACAAGGGAGACATAGGTGGAAACAGCACAAAGCCAGAGAATGCAAAGGAGCCAGAAGATTAGAAAAGATTGCTAGAGTTAATTTGAAGCCAAGCAGGACAATTCCGGAGAGAGAAGCCAGATTAAGTAAATCAGCTAGGAGAGGAGTTTTAGCCAGAACAGCTGAGTTCGACCAGGTAGCCCAGGACTCAGTAACAGCTACAAAGGATGACCTTCAGCAGTAAGTCTCAGAGGCTGAAAATATTCTAGGTTAGATTGTATGGAGGCTAGAAGCTTCCAGGACTAGGCCTAGGGTAAGCCTCTGAGACAACAACTGAAACAGTTGAATGAAAGTTCCTTTTACAATAAAATGAAATAAAGAAAATAGGTGATGTCTTGCCTTTCGTTCTTTACAAATTTTACTCTAAATTCACTCTAAGTTTTACTCAGAGTTCACCTGACTTCATTTCTTTCTGTTGAATATACGTAGTTTTGGTAGTTTTGACTAGTGGTCTTCATTTCACAGATCGTGAGAATCAGTCCATCCTGATCATGTATGTGACTTAATTTCTCTCTGGTTGGCATCCACTGTCTTTTTTTCCCCCATTAATTTATTTGCTCTACATTGAGAGGACCAGGCCTGAGCGCCACCCCCCCAACACACACAAAGTCATAGTCCAAGAATGAGGCTATAGGTCACCAATTCCAGGAACAAGACCATAAATTCCCTACCCAAAAAATAGCCTGGAGTTAACCACAGAATGGGAAGGTATCTTATCTCTGGGTGGGGCATCCGTGCTGGGCAGCCCACTGACCTTGGCACAGAAAATAACATTCCTGAGGTCTATAGATTGTTCACTGTTAGTTATGTTAGTTAGCCAATCACTCTGTAACAAGCTTGCCCTTGCTGAATGTCAGCCAATCATGTAACTGCTAATCTGGGAATTCCCTGTCCTTGTTCAAACCTCAATAAAAACCCTGCATGCAGCTGCTCAGGGCTCTCCTCTCCAGACCATTACTTTGGTGAAGGTGGAGAGAGCGAGATTAAGGCCTAATAAAGCTCTTTGCCCTTGCGTACATGGTCAGGCTCCTGGTGGTCTTTGGGGACTCTTAAAATCTGAGCATAACATCATCCCAATGGAAGCTTCTCCTCCCTCTCTCTTCCACTCTCCCTACACCACCCCCCTTCTCCTCGGAGAAGGAGATGTTAGCATATAGGCAGCCTGCTTCTGGGTTGCCTAGTAACCTATGATGTCATCATGTGTTGCCCACCAGGTGTGTGGCAGGTGCAGTTCGGCTGCCCATTCGCAAGCTACACTTGATCTTAGCCAAAAGGCCGAGAAGTGATATGCACAAGCTATAAAAGGACCAACCCACCACTTTTTCTCTCTTACCTTCCTCTCTTACTCTCCTCTCTTACTCTGTCCCTCTCGCTTTCTTTCCTGGGGGAAACCCCCACCATGTCTCTCTCTCCTTTTCCTCTCTATCACTCCACTTCTATCCAATAAATCTCTTTCATGTAATATCTGTTGTGTGCATGGCATCTTTTAAAATAAATACTAAGGGAAGGCCTTGCATGGATATTGACCCACCTTGGCATATCAAGATGCAGTAGGACTAAGGGCATCTTCTCCTATTGAGGTTAGACACAGCAGCCCAGTTAAGGGAAAGGGATTCAAAGACAGGCAACAAAGTCAGAGACAGCCCCTACTCCAGTTGTTAGGGGTCTAATTTGGCCCATGCACGCTCTGCGGTTAGTGATTCAGTCTCTGTAGGCCCAGGTTAGTTGACTCTGTATGTTTCCTTGTGGTGTCCTTGACCTCTC